GGGGGGGGGTAATAATGAGAACTAATTCTCTTGTTGGCTTGGCTGTCATTGACATTAGTGAGTTTGGATCTTCTCTGTTTTCAGTTTCTATCTAGTTGTCCCTGCTTTAGTTTCTGATGTTTTCCAAGTGAGTCATTCTTGTAACATGTTATTGGTATGGAAAAAAATAATGTAGATCATTACTTCCCGGACTTCATTTGTCTTTCGCAAATTTGTTCTTCAAATGGAAATTGTGAAAAGTTGAGGAAAAATAATTGTTCTTCATTCTCTTCATTTTTTTTTTCTTCCTTTATCATGCATTTACATTTTAATACTGTAAACTTATTCAAAGATTGTTCGTTTTTCATGTTTTTTTGGTCTACTATGTTTCTTCTTTTAGTGCTTGTAGGTGTTTCCAATCAATCACTAGTTAAATCAGCAGCAAATTATGTTTCTTCTTTTAGTTAAATCATTGTGATATTGCTTTACTTTGCATATTATAAAAGTTGTGTGGTAGCATATGGCTATACATACATACGCTCATATCTTGGGCATATTCACAAATTAAAAGGTAGTCATGTGCCTGTATATTTGCATGGTTAGTTCTTACAGATTCAACTATTTGTTGGCAGGTACCTCTCTGATCTATTGGCAGAGCGCCACAAGCTTAGTCCATTTATGCCTGTGCTGCCACACAGCTATCGGTTATTGAACCAGGGTGAGTTTCAAGATCACAATTTAGTTCCAAACATCCTGTGGTTGTGGAAGACTCCCTGCCCCAAAAGAGAAAAAAAAAGGAGGAAATAACACATGCTCAAAATATGGGTGATAATTTTATTTTATTTTATTTTTTGTTTGTGTTAAATGGGAGTCTCAGGGGAAATCTTTCTGCCTTCTCCCTTATTGTTTTCTGTTTGAGTTGGATATTTTACTTTGCATGGCTTTGAGCTGAAATGGAATTTCATTTTTAGGCTTACTTGAAGAAGATTGCTTAGATAATTGTGGTTGTTGTTCTTGCTGCTTATAATTAAAACATTTACGATGTATGTAAATCAGATATCGGACAATATCTTACTTAATCAAGGATAACCATTTTCAGCATCTCTTTATGATGAATTTGGAATTCCTGTGCATAGTATGGAATTGCGGATGGTGAACTTGTTATGATGATTGCTTCAAGGGTTCTGTTGCTCTCTCCTTTGGATAAATGAAATTGAAGAAGATTTACAACATGCTAATATTAGATATATTCTTTATTTTTCTTGATATCATTGAAGATTTAGATAGAACTGATAAGAAGTTACATGCAAAAGATTTATTAGCTTTAAAGTTTGTCAGTTATAATGGGTTGATGTGCTAGTGAAAAGTTAACTAACAAAAAAAGTGCTAATGAAAAATCTGGTCTCATTTGAATTTGCATATAGGAAATATATTTATATCACTTTGCTTTGCGTGCCAAAATAGTTCTGCCATTCTACCATGTTTGCTGTCTTGTATACTACCTGCCCAGAGGAACAGTTTTATATCCTCCATTCTCTCTCTCTCTCTCTCTCTCATGATTGTGCATGTCTACAAACAGACACATCGTGATGCATGATTGTGCACATTTTCTAATAGTGTTTCCTTGGCACATTATACATTCAGATGTCCACAACAAAAATCCATGTGACATGATGGTAAATAATATATAATTATGTAAATAATTTAAACATATAATAGAAATATGAATGTCAAAGTGTTGACTGATTGTATGTGTCCTCCTTTTTCTTGATCCTTGTTTAAAAATGCGAAGATTCAGGGTTATTCACTGACTTCAACTAGGAGCATTGTCAAGATGCTACAAGAAGTGCTGTGCGAAGTATTAGGTGTCAGCATGTCCAAGTGTTTGGCAACTAGATCCTTTAGTTTCAAGGGACAACACAGTGACTTTTCTGAACTAAATAGATATTTCTCATTCTTAGATTTGTAATGAAATGCACCTTCTAGGTGCATAAAGTGGAGATTAGTAGTTCAGTGTGTATTTAGGATGTGGTAAAGGTCAATGGAGTAAGTTATGAGATTTATCCAAAAAAAAATGAAGTTATAAGCAATTTGTTGTGGGCCAGGAGATCTGCAAATGGTTTGGCAGACACATTGGCCAAGCAAGGGGGTAACAGGGAACAATTGTTTTGGGTGGAATTGTAATAATAATTTTTCTTTTTGGGGTCTTCACCCCTATGTTTGGGATACTTGTTATATTGCAATGATCTGATTTTTATTTATTTAATATAAGCAACCGTTTCCAATAAAAAAGTTATGAGCTATATTACCCAGATATGCCAAAGGCACGGCTGGATAACGTGTTTGATGTGGAATTTACACAAAATTGAAGTATCTCATATCTGACATGAACTGAAACCCTTGAACAGGTATCTGGGTATCATAGATTACAAAAAGTGGTAAGGAATAGCAAGTCACCATCCATCCACACAATTTCTTAGGACAATTTTGAAATTCTAATTTGCCTATGATATTCAGCTTAACTGCCTCTGCAGTATAGTCTGTAAATCTATTGGTTGATGAACCACAGGCTTTATTGGCTAGGTTTTAAAATTATCTTACAGAGCATGAAAATGAGGATGTTATTCTTCTAATTGGGCAATTGAAGAATGTTAATCTCTAATGCATGCGAAGGGGCAATAGTGTGTGTGCTGTGAAGGCAATTGACACTCTTTTGTCCTTAAATTTCCCTAAAATGCTTGTTTCTGACATATTATGAAGGAGATGATCTCAAAAGAAACAGAAGTATCAATACAACGTGGGCTCATAGATCAGCTAGTAGGTTAGCAGATCATAAATGCTTTAGTAAAACAAGTGGTGAATAGAGAAGATTTATTTTGGAGAGTGGGGGGGGACCTTTGATGTATGCAGCTTCTATATTGGCCATCCCAATCTCTGAGATGTAGCCATTTGTATATTACTCTATGTTTTTATTTTAACAAAACCTTGTCGGTACTCATAAAAGTGCTTGTTTTCAACCCTTCTGTCCCTTGAGAATTCCTGTAAAAGCTGTTTGGTTGGGGCCCATTCCTCGAGAATTCCTAGCATCTAAGGCTCAAGGCAAGGCATGTGCTTGAACAAAGCAAGGCACAACTTTTGAAAAATTAAATGAAAATCAATACATAACATAATAATTTGCAGATCTGAATTTTGGAAGATAGACATGCCATTTAACATTAACAGGCCATTAACGCACATAGATACAGTAATAATCAGGAGCAGACACTTAAGAACCTGCAAAACTAGGGTACAACCGTACAAGAATGCTACTTAACTTGCATATACAGGATAAAAAGACAGCTAAATTTTGCTAGAAAATTGACCATAACCATACTTTATGGGTTTTTCTTTGGTCAAATCAGTTATTCTTTGACTTAACAAGTTTGGATCTGAAGGGAAACAGTGAAAGACTTGCAATATAGAATTACTTTTGGCTCGTTTTATATAGGAAGGACAGAAAAAGGGGGCTGCCAGATTACAGCCTACAACCAAAACATTAAGGAACTCTATCCTTGTTTGTGGTTGTTACTGCTTACAACCTACTCAGCTGCTCAGAAGAAGAAGCAAAAGGTGGCTGCGTACAGCCTACTCAGAGACCAGCTATAGATAGGGTAGCGTTGAGGGCACATCCTGACCTCAACGATGCCAGCTACAGTGGATGGACATTACTTGGTTGCTCCAATAAAAAGGAGGTCCTGATATCCCCACAGAATCCACCCTAGAAATGGGAGGAAAATAAGAAGGAAATAAAGAAAAGAGAATCAAATTAATAATTGGGACTTCTGTTGTGCTCTTTTTGGTTGCAGGTGGAATCCTCCACAGGATGTAGTGGGCCTTTACAGCCCAAGTGGTTTGAACTCCTTGGGAGGATCGTCAATGAGAAAAGTAGATCGAAGGAGGAAAATTTTGAGACTATAAAACTCAAAGTTGCACACAGGGTAAAGACACTTGATCTTTTCCAAGGCTTTTCCGTGAATGATATTTTAAGGGCATGGACTGAAGTGGCACTTTCTTCTAAAGAAAAGGAAAAGGTGTTTATGGAGTGGATACTCCCAGCAGTTAATAAAATWAAATTAAATTTTGATGGGAGCTCCATGGGAAGCTCGGGAGTGTCAGGTATTGGAGGAGTCTTTAGAGATGGTGCAGGCAAGGTTCAAAGTATTGGATGTTTGGCAACAAGAATAAACAGTGAATGATATTTTAAGGGCATGGGCACTTTCTTCTAAAGAAGGATAAGGTGGTTATGGAGTGGATACCCCCAGCAGTTAATAAAATAAAATAAAATTTTGATGGGAGCTCCATGGGAAACTCGGGAATGTCAGCTATTGGAGGAATCTTTAGAGATGGTGCAGGCAAGGTTCAAAGTATTGGATGTTTGGCAACAAGAATAAACAGCTCATTAACATGGATCCCAAGGACTGCATAACTTCCAAGCTAATAATTTTTCTGGAGGAGTTAGGAGAAACATCATCTATACTGGGAATATACTATTTGATGTGATATCTCACTACTCTATTTTCCTTTTCAAGCTTTTGAGGATTGGAGGAGGGGGATACTTCTTACTATTTAAGAGAAGAAAAACTTGTTGTATGCTTGAATACCAAACGTCCAATGGGTACTCTGGCAATAGATTCAATCATTAAATATTTTATGGAACTTTTATTTTATTATACTCAAAGTCTTAAATTAAAGGAACTGAAGACTGTTTTTTTATGATCATTCTATATCAATATTTTTTTTTGGTAAGTATACATAACAGTATAGGAATTGATTAACAGAATATTTGATCCTGTTTTGCTATTTTATTACATAAGAAAGACACAAGGTGTATCAATTAGAGCTCAGGTTAGCTGGGGTACTGATGAAGAAGAGCTTGGAAATTGTGATTAAATACTTGGTTAATGCAATCAGATTTCTTGTTAATAAGCTTTTATTGGATTAGAAAACAGGATATCTGGTGATTGCATAACATTTTTACGAATTGAAGCACAAATAAATGGTGTACTATCATCTTTTCCATTCTTTCTTATGGACAATGTTAATATTATTTTACATTGTTATGTTTGCCATCTAGGAGCTCTTTGAAGGAAAATGATGAAAGGTTGTAAGTTGTAATGTATGGTAGATAATAGTTTATATCAAGGAAATCAAAGAATAAGGAAATCAAGCTTTACTGAACCAGAATCCATGAAGTGTTGGAATGTGGCAAATGTTAAAAATAGATTCTCATTTGGAAGAGTTCCTGCAACATGGATCTGAAGAAAGTTGGGTTATGCAAAAAAAAAGTTGGTTATGCGAGGAGGGAATGCGAAATGGTAGATAGACTAAGAAAGTTGAGTTATGCAAAAAAAAGTTGGTTATGCGAGGAGGGAATGCGAAATGGTAGATAGACTAGTTTTGTAAAATTTTCCCTTGATGTTCTTATCATGTTTAATTTACAGAAAATATAAAGGGTCATTCTTTGACCATATAGGATTAATACGTTACACAACTTATTGAATATATTGAATCTGTAGCTTCAATACATTCAATAAGTGGTAGAAGGAAAAATTGGAGTTGATTTAGGTAGGAAGAGGGAACTACAAGTTCATAGCACTTTTTCGAAGAAGGTTCAACGGCTGCAAAGAAAAGTAATTGTTCATGCAAATTGCATCTTGTGCATGTGACGAAGGTCTTTTC